GGTTTGGGGGGGTGGAGGGTGAGGGTGTTGCCTACCCGAAAGGGTACACAGGGGGAGGACCCCCGAAATGGGAGTCTTGATGTGGTTTGTGAGGGCAGGTAGTGCGGGGGGGCTTGGGGTGTGCTGGGGAGACTGGGGAGCACCCCTTGGGGCTCTGTGGAAGCCTTAGGGTGCAGCGTCAAGGGAAGCGGGTGGTTTGGGGGGCAGAGGACTGCCAGGGGAGAGACACACTGAGGTGAGCCCTGGGCATGTGGGCTGTCAGATGAGGGTAGTACAGTTTTAGGGACGGGGTGAGGCCCTGGGGACAGGGCGATGCTGGGCTCCAGCCAGGCCAGGCCATCCCTGCCATAAGATACCCCAGTACCACAGCCCTCAGCCAAAGCAGGGGTGTCAGTGGTATCCCCTGCCCCTGCGCTGAGATGCTCCTTGCTTTTCCCACCTGTCTGTGCTAGCAGGGGGCCTTGCCACAGCAGGGCACAGGCTTACAGGACACACAGGTGAGGCAGGGGCATCGGCAGCAGCATCTCCGCTTTCTTAAGCCCCACGCAACTGAGGTTTCAAGCGGCATCACACCACGACTGCCAAAGAGCTCTGGTCTTTATGTGCCGCTGAGCCTCTGGGCAATATCACGTGCATGGGAACGCTGTGGGAATTTCTGGGAACAGCATTGCCAGGCTCAAGTGGGGAGCTTGGGAGCCTGGTACGGTAGTGCTGCGGATGTAAAAGAAATCCATTCTGATTGGTGTCCAAATACTGAGGTTGTGGTACACGTGCTGCATTTTCCGACCATCTCGTTGCAGAAGAGCTGAGAAGACGGCTCCAGGACCACCTAGCAGCCAAAGGAAAGCCGGAACGCCCAAGTGCAAAGTAAGTCAGGAGGATATGGGGCTTGGACTAGATGATCTGTAAAGGTCCCTTCCAACCCAAACCGCTTGGTGATTCTCTGGACTATAGCTGACTCTTCCCAGCTTGCCAGCGTCTGTCTTCTCTCCACGGCGAATCACTGGCCTACAGAGAATTGCCTCCTGCCAGTGCCTTGTGACTGGGGCTCTGCCCCCCCAGCACCTTGGCAGCGCTCTGTAGAGTTACTGGCAGCAGGAGCAAAGGGATGGTTTGAGCATTGACATTTCCTGCTGGTTGTTATTGTCTCTTCTGGGTATTTTCTGAATCTCCCTGAAACTTGCTCAGCTCAGGTCTTGGGTCTGGCAGAACAGGCCTTTTTGCCAATAACTCGGCTTTGTAACTGGGTCTTGAAGAAAGGGTGGTTCGAGTTCGCTGCATTTAGCGGCAGCTTTTAGTTGCCTTCTGGGATGGGCTTATACAAGGCAGGGACATTTTCACTGTGTTTAAAAGGAAAGAGTTACAAGCACCTACTAAATGAGGCCCCTGGCTCTGGGACCCCTTTGCTGCCTTGCTTGGTTCCTCAGGAGCCAAGGCACCTTTCTGCAGCACTTTTAATTGAAACTGCTGATGTGCTGGGCAAACCTGAACGCTTGAAAGCCTCCCCGTTGCAGCGAGTATTTCTCATGATGTCATAGTGCAAAGGAAGCCATAAAACTTCTCTGCGGGGAGACGATAAAGGGAAGCAGAATCAGAGACCAGAAAGAGCAAACCAGTCCCTGGTGCCAGGCTTTGGAAAACACCACTAATATAATAGAAACAGAGAGAGAAGATTCGTGAGCTTGCTTTCTAGCATAGCACACCACTTGTGTAGTACAGAGGTCAAAGCCCAACTCTCCGAGCTGTTTTATTACAGAAAAATATCTGCGTGGGCATTAACCTTCCCTGCCGGCTGAGCTGCCAGCTGCAGAGCAGAGGGGTGGGCGAGCCCCGCTGCTGGTCACTGTCAGAGGGCTCCGATTCAGGGGGGAGGAGGAGGACAGGAGGGGGGAGCTGACAGCCAGGGCTGCTGCCCCCACCTCCCTGCTTCGCCACCAGCACTGGGGCAGCTGAGGGGCTCGTGAATCAGCCGTGGCAGAGC